GGGACAAGCAGGGATGGGACACAGAATCATATCCAGGCCCCCATCCAGAGCCCTCCATCACAACCACTCCCCTGTATGTCCCTTTCTCCCGCTGCCCCCGGCATCCCCCTGCCCTGGATCAGAGCAGAGGGAAGTTCTGCATTATTAATGATCATTTACATAATTTGCATAATGAATGAAGTGCTGGGAATCACAGCTCCAAGCTGGAGCCACGAGTGAGGAGGTGCCACATGCCCAAGGCCACGTCAGTGTCACCAGCACCCAGGGACACAAGGACACAGATCCTGCCCGGAGCAGCCGGGAGCGCCCAGAGCCCATCCTGATGGACAATGTCCCTGTGCCACCAGGTCCTTCCTCACCCTCATCCCCATCCCCATCCCCATCCCCATCCCCATCCCCATCCTCATCCTCATCCTCATCCTCATCCTCATCCCATCCCCATCCCCATTCCCATTCCCATTCCCATTCCCATTCCCATTCCCATCCCCATCCCCATCCCCATCCCCATCCCCATCCCCATTCCTGGCCCTGTTGTATCCCCATCCCGTCCCAGTCCCCATTCCCAGGCCGTGCTGCTTCCAAGGGAAGCCATTTCCAGGGAATCCAGCAGGAGCTTCCCAGCCCTGTCCCTGCCCCTCGTGGCACCAACGCCCTCTGTCCCCAAGAACAGGGACGGAAAGGGGGATTTCTGGAAAAGGGGAATTCTGGGAAACACAGCAGAATGTGGGATGGGCAGCAGGAAATCCTGGGATCTTAGTTAATGAGCTGGAGCCATCAGGAACCCCCAAAATCCAGGATCACCCCGGGATTCTCCTTCCAGCACCGAGTGGGCTCTGGCACAGCTCTGATCCCGACCCTAGCTCTGATCCTGCCCCAGCACTGATCCCAAATTTCTCCAGCAAGGAGCACCCCAGTGCTGCACTGGGAATGGGAATGAGGGGCTGGAGCTGCCCTTCCTCCTCCAGGAAAGGGCCGGGAGGGCTCACGGACCACAATGGAATCTTTTCCCTCAAAATAACACCGGAACCCTTAAACTCCGCCAGCTCCCGGCTGCTCCGGGCTGGGATCCCGCTCCGGATCCTCTCCGGCCTCCGACGCTTCCCAAGCCCACCTGAGGGAAGGTTCTGGAAAAGGGAGAGCTCTGAAGGCTGGGCTGGGTGCGCTCAACGCCCGGGAATGCTGGCGGGAGCGGGGAGGGGACGCTTGGCACCCGGAAAACTTCTCCTGCACTTTAAAAATAGCAGCTAATCCCGAATCGGCGGCTGTGCCGCGCTTCCCGGGAAGCCGTGACGGATTAATGAGGGATGCGGCTGGAAGTGCTGCAGCCACCGCGCTCCCCTGGGCTTCCCAGAGAATTCCAGCACAATCCTGCCCAGCCGGGCCGGGGCTGGGCTGGAGCAGGCGGCTGTGGGGCTGCTCCCATCCCGGAATCAGCCCTGGAGGAATGGGGGCGAGAATTCCGCAGCATCCCGGAGTATCCTGCGGCCTGCTGAGCATCCCAAGGCATCCCTCAGCATCCCATGGACATTCCAGAGCATCCCTGGTACCCCACAGCAGCCCC